GTGAGCCTTTTGAGCCGGACTGTTTTGTTCTGCTTTGCTAAATTTTAAGAGTACCAAGTTCGATCAGACAGTCGCTGTTACGGGTTTTATATTGGGAGTGTTACGGGGATGTTCCCAAACGCCACACGCAGCCGGGTCTTTCGATTCCGAACTGCATACCTTCAGTTAGTATCCACCTCTAGCTCGACGTAAGTACGCGATTTTCTTAATAAGCGCCTAAGTAGTTGGAAGGTACTTGAAAGAGTAAAGTAAAGAGAGGTGAGGTGTAATTTTCCTTAATTTCTTTATTGGTTCCAGACATCATCAAATCGGCATCTTTTTTCCAATCAACGGCATTATAATCCAGATTTTCTAGTTTCTAACAATAATTGAGACAGATCTTATTTACTTTTGTATTCAATTCAAATTTTGCTTATTTACTTTTGTTTTCAATTCAAATTCAAATTCGTTGGCGGAAACGTTTTTTCTTTCGTCTTTGGAAAAAATTTTAGTAACTTAACTAATCTATCCTTGGATACTCGTCTAGCAGAAGGTTCCAGGTACTAATAAATCCACCCTGGGCTTTGCCATATAGCTCGAAAGGAAATATAACATTTGAAGCATAACGAAGAGCATATTATGGTTCTTTTACCATCGACTGTAACCAGTAAGATACCTCACACTAGTTCAAGAGTAGAAATATTCGAGATGAGCTGACGGTATTTAAGAAACAGCGGTGAAATCTCGAAGCTACAAAAACCTCCGTAAATTCTGAACGGATGGTACTCGCAAATAGACTTAGCGTTAGCATCTGCCGGCAGCAACTATGCTTTGGTAAATTTTCGACTGCCTCCCTTCCTGCAGGTTGTTTGCAATCAAACTGATAACAATTTTAATTCCTTGAAATATGCAGGTGACAAGTTGCCATCGTAAAGAATTAACAAATCATAGAAGAATTAACTGCCTTATTAGCGGAGTCAAATTTTTGTTTCCTTAGGATGGTGCTAGCAACCAATACACCATGCACATCAGCGGTGCGAACTTGAAACAGCAGCTAAACAATTAAAGCATGAAGCGTGCAAAGAACCCCAGACAGGGAACCAATTCCCTTTAAGACTTCTAGGCACCTTCACTTAGTAATTATCGGAAGTATTTTTATAGAAAATTGAGGAGGAGCGCAACCATGTCGATGTGCTGTACAAACGTGTAAAGCGTCACTGCACCTGCAGTCACTCGTCCTGTAGCTGTGCGTCGATCACCGCCACTTTCCAGATGACCTGCTCCTGCCCTCAGACCTGCACTTGCTCCGAATCCGCCCCACCGCCTTACGGCTATCCATCATACCCCACAGTACCCCCTGTCCTGCCTTCCACACCAGCGCCGGTCATTATTCCTCCAGGGCCAGCTGTCACTCCTCCAGTATCGGCTGTCATCCCACCAACTCCATCCATTATCCCACCAGCACCGGGTGTGATTCCACCAGTGCCAGTGGTCACTCCACCTACACCACTCATTACACCACCAGGAGCACCGGTCATCGTGCCACCGTCAGCGGTCGTCACCCCACCAGCACCGGTCATCATACCCCCAGCTCCAGTTGTTACTCCACCGTCTGGGGTTGTAGTACCACCAGCTCCAGCTGGCATCCCACCGGCACCGGCTGTCGTACCAGGCCCCACTTATCCGGGGACCTCTCCCTACTGCTGCATTCTGTTTACGTGCACCGTTGGATGCGATTATGGCAGCGGAGTAAGTTTTTTATTGAGCAGCCAAAGTTAAATTGCAATAGAACAAACGTCATGGACTGGAGGCTGACGACT